CTATAAATAGATTTCCTGGTAAAATTCATGAAAATATAAATCTGAACATAGAAGTGAGATGATCAGATCTTTTCCCTGCTCAAAATGGTCCAGAATATATTTTTAAAGTAGCAAATGAGCTGATGAAAGTCACGAGAAAAATTGAATAATTTCTACATACTTTTTTTTATTTTTTAATGAAACTGTTTACTCAAGGATATGTGTCACTTTTTTGTCTGCATGCATGAACGTGCAGACATACGGGCACTCTTAAAGTCACTCACAAAGTGAAGACCTTGTTCCACTCTGGGTTCAGGTTTTTGTAGACGGTGTGCGTCTGCAGCCGATCGTTACTCAGCTCCACTACACAGAATGGGTCGCTCTTACCTGGCAAGCAAAAATAAATAAAAATAAAATTAAATAAAACGAGAACAAAAAGAAGGAAAGAACATCCTTCTTAGTGAAAAGATAAAATTAAATTGAGAATCTTAAGTAATTCCAACAGCTTTGTTTATCTCAAATACCTCATACTGTTAAGACATATACTGTAGCATCCTTCCCTTATGTCGCATGACAGTTCCAATACCCTGTACTTATCAGAGCTGTAATGAAATGATTCTTTCATTTTTAGCCCCAATATTATACAACAGTATATCAGTGTAAAAGCTGTAAGCCATTTCTATCAGCATCCCGGCTCCATGGACAACTAGAAGATAAGCTTTAGGAGGACTGCGCCTTGGGCAGTCGCGAGGAAAGGGTGAGAGAGAAAAGCCAGAGAGGACTATGAAAATGGGTGGTGCGGAGAACACAGAGGTCGAGGTGCTCTGAAGGCCCGAGAATTTTTGAGCTGAACATAAAGGCAGCCAGTCACGGAGCGTGAGAAACGCAGCTCCTCCGAAGACAGCAGCGAGGGGAGCAGCGGCACGATGACACGAGTAAAAGCAAGCGTATAATGTCAAAACTATATGATGAATGAACAACAGAGAAAACATTTCTGCATTTTTTACATGGAGAGATGAATAAAAGCAGTTTTAAAAAGATTTTTTTAAATGATTAAAAACCGAAATTGATTAAGTTCGAGGACTAGCTGCGAAGCTGTTTTCAAGTAATATTTTATGGTAATTAAAAGTAAAAACATACATCCAAATTTGGATTTATTATAAGAACTGAATCACGCTGAAAATTGAGGATCACAAATGAAGGAGTGCTGCCAAACTAAAACTTAAACAGACTTATCATTGTTATATGGTTTAGTATAAAGAATATTCATAGATGCTAATTAATTCCAAGAAAACTTTACTAGTTATGTAACTGCGTAGAGAGAAAGTGAGAGAGACCGAGAAGGAGCTGCTTCCTCCTCCTGAGAATAGCACACTGTGCTATCATAATCAAAACCAGTAATGTCCTATATATTCCCGATTTGTTTACTAACATCTCTCACTTCAAATTCTTTGTACACAGAAAACAGCGAGACCGGCTCCCTATGTTTGCCAGCCCACCTACCTTCAGTGAACTAAAAAAACAACAAAACTCTTAATTTTGACTTTGATCATTATGTTTTATTAAAAACTGTCGGGAGCCGCTGCGAATGTTTTTTTTCAAACCTATCACTTGAAAAGGCTGGGTCATTAAGTAAAAAGACGAGGAAAAAAAAAAACTCCCTGGCAAATTTCCAGGGAAAGTATTGGGAATACTGAACGCTGAAAAGCAGCATTGTTGCATAATAAAACTCGATAAAAAAGAGATTGAGTTCAAAGCCCCTGAAAACTGTGTGCCCGCCTGTGTTTGTAGGCCATAGGAAATGAGTGTGTGTATCTATGTGTGTGTGAGTGCCATCGATTAGTGTGATTTTCTCCAAATGTTGTGACAAGGGCAGGACATTTAGTGGGTGTGCAAAGTAAATGTCACTGTGATCAATGCTGAGGCAGAGGCGTTGCCTTTCATATCTGTTTGTGGCGCTCCATTGATGTAGAGTGTTTCAAGTGGATATTGACAGCTACGACTTCTACAGAAAACAAGATACGTTAAAATAGACAAAAGAAAAAAGGCTCGGGCACCTGCTTCTCAGTGCCTTTCTGTTTACACCTCGCCGTCTCTCTTTAAACGCAATTGTTCTTTAAACCACAATTAAATACGGTTGAAATGATTAAACCAGTGAAAAACTTCTTTTTTGCAGAAAATCTTTCTTAATAATCCCAGAGTGTCCATATCATTCACAATTATAATGTCATTGCCACAGACCAAATCTGATTAAATCTAGACGCAATCACCCAAATTAGGAGATGGAAATTATTTCTGCAGAAGTCCGTCCCTTCCCCCCGTTTTCTCTCTAATATTCTTTTTTTTAATGACACGGCAGGCTGTGTTGCTGCAGAGAGCCAGTTGTTACTGATGGTGAACTTTCACCTTACTGGCCACCAGCACCAGAGGCAGCTGTCTTAACCAATTACACGCTCGGGTTTGAGCTCCACTCAGTGATCATCCAGGTAATGTCTGAGTAAAGCTCCCCCACCACCACCACCACTGCCACCACCACCGGGGTCCCATCTCTGTGACAGTGGCGAAGGGTTTGCAGCAAGAAGTGGGCTCAAATTAATTTCAGAGTGCTCTAAGATAAGTGGCAAATGGATACAGTATAGAAAATGAGGAAGCATACTGTAATTGCCTCAGAGAAAGCTTGGAGTCAGTGAGGAGTTTAAGGTTGTAGAGGCAACACACGACGCTCTCGTGCCCCTGAATTATCACAGTTAATTATAATTCGTGCTTTAAAATGTAAACCAGTGCATTACCATGTTAATTTTAACAGGTCACTCGATATGAGCTGCAATATTTACCAACCATTCAAGTTGATAAATGTAGACTTCACTGGCA